CCCCATCCTTTCTGCACACCCTTCTAAAACCAATCTCACATTCTACCCGGCTATAAATTGCTCCAGTTTTTTCCCCATTTTTTACCTGACTTTCTCTCTCTCTCGTGACACCGATTTGTCCACTTTACTTCTTCCTGATGGCAAAAAATGTGTATGACAAATTTTGATTTATCATCATCAAATATCGTGAAAGAATAGCAAACATTTCCTCCAAAAAAAAATCTAGCCGTCCAATCCAGACGAAGGAAAATATGTAAAAAAAACTACAAAGTTTTTGTTTATCTACGTGTTGGACATGAAGATGGGAAAAGGAAACGATACAAAATTTGTGGTTTTGGTTTGCGATCAACTGTTGACAGAATTGAGTGCGTAGCATATTTTTGTGCTGAATTGAATATGAATTTTTTACGGGGAGGAAACAGGTCAAAGTTTAAAACGTCTTTTTCTCGATATTCAACAGGCAATTCACGCAGGCATTGGTAACATTGTAAAATCCGTAAATTCTGTAATTTTACAAATATTTCTGAGGAAACTTGGCTCACAAATTTTTGCAAACTTACTCAGATCTCTTTATTTTGTAAAGGTTTGCAGAATTATTTTACGAAATATACGAATTTTACAAGTTACAAACGTGAATTTCCACTTTATTTCCGCCTGGCCCACCAATCTCAAGTCTGAATCTCTCGAGAAACGTAACTCAAGTGAAATTAAATGAAGTGAAAAGCAGATGGATGGCTACATTTTTTTCGTGCCTTCTTTATAGAGTTTTTAGACTGGTTCGCATCAAATATAGACGACTTCTCGTTCCATAATTCGAGGAGGCACAGGTTCATTCATATCGCAATCATCACAGGTCGATTCATTTCTCATCTTACGTTTATGTAACTTTTTCCACCCACGTGACGAACATTTCGCGAAAGAATTAAGTCATGGATCCTATTTTAGGTCGAGATCAGATAACATGATATGAGGCAATTCATGCAGGCCTTCGTAACCTTGCAAAATTTGTAAAATCCGGAAACTTACAAATTTTTTACAAAATTTTTCAAATATTTCTGAAGAAAATTAGCTCCCAATTTTTGTAGACTTGCTCAGATTAAGGGCATATCTTTATATTGTAAAAATTTGTAAAATTATTTTACAAAACACGGACTTTACGAAGTTACCAATACCGGCGTGAATCAATTAGGCGAACATTTGCACGTATTTTCGCACCGATTTCTACTAAAAATTCTCCCTCCGACCTTAATAATCTCTTCTGAAATCTACACACCAAAATCTAAACCTGGAGTATGAACGCCTGCCTGGTAAGTAAATCTGGTGTAAACTTGACTGACGCATTCCACGCGTTTCGGTAAAGAGCACGCCGGCAATGATTATCCAACATCCCCACAATAAAATAAATGTTGCCGCAGCTCTTAAATAACTCGACGCGTCAACAAGTCCCGAGGAAGAAGGGGGATTCATCTAAAAGTACGTCCGCAACCAGCCAGCAAGCAGAGATCGACTTCGAACAGATCAGTTTCTTCATTTCAACAACTTTTACTTTTTTCGTCTAAACAGCACTCCACTCTAAAAAGATGGAAAACTTGGTTCAGCATTTTCTGCTTAGCTCTTCGTGTATCCATTTCCATTATTATTATTGCCGTTAGTTCTCAACACGGTAAAGTGCTAGTAGAGTTTTCCATGAGAAAAAGCAATCAATCGGGGGACTCACGTCAATCAAAATATGTAATTTTTCTATAAAAAATCATAAATTTTGCACAATTTCGTATCTACCAAAAAATCATATCGTTAAATTTTCCCATAATTTCACATTTTCTTATTAAAATCCTTAAATTTTTCATAAATTCGTATTTCTAATTAAAATGCCCTGTATCGCAAATTTTGTATACTTTTGAGTTTTCCGAACAAAAATCCTATACACATATTTTCGCATTTTTCAGCAAAAATCACATCCTAAAATTTTCCATATTTTTTAAAATTATTGTTCAACAACTTATTGCTGAATTTCTTATCATTTTGTAATGCAAATTATGTAAATTTTGCGACGAGTAAGTTCCTATCCTTTCCACAAAATTAGAAACGAACCCGAAACAAATTACACATTTCAAAATTTCCGAACCAAAATTCCCAAAAGTCAATGACTCGTCCAACTTCGTAATAATATTTTTTACCACCAGCAGAATTCTCCCCGTAATTGTAGTAAATTGTGGAGTTATTTCCTTGCTTTTCTTTTCACGGAGGATGTTATCGAGACAAATTCCTTCTTCTTCTTCTTCTTCCTGGATCTGTCGCATCTGTCGCAATTCCCGAATGAGTCGTATGTATCCCAACCAAGCTAATTCGTGGTGACGGCCAACAAGCCAAATCGTTTCATTTCTCACACACCAATACCACTCTAAATAATTCCATAACCAAAAATTAACCCTTTTTTGACCCTTGCTCACTCCCACATTTTAACCATTCCGATCGGTTTAAGAAAAAAAAATTCGAATTTTTAAGCGTCCTTCCCGGTAAATAAATGCTACCAAGTCGGTAAAAAAACTACCAAATTCGTCCATATCTGATCATTGTACACAATGCGAATTCTACTCCTACTTTGATCTCAACAATTAATGACAAATTTGAATTTTAAACCTTCCCGGTAAATATTTTGCTACCAAACTGGTAAAAAACAAAAATCCAAAATTTGTGCCCGCCATTATTTTCTCCTACCTTCGTACCAAATTGTAAACTTTTTCACAATAGCTGCTAAATATTACCAAAGCTCAACAATTAGCCATATATCTTTTATTTATCCCGATTAATATCAAGTTTTAAAATTTTTACCACTTTTGACTCTAAACAACTGCAATTTATAACCAAAAAAAACTCCTACCGAATTACTCATCACGACAAGATTGAGACAATTTACGTACGCAGTGCTGAGTAACTTTGTAAAATTCGTGCATTTTGCAAAATAATTTTGCAAAACAAACTTGAAAAAAATAAAGAGATGCCCTTGATCAGAGTAAGTTTACAAAAAATTTTGAAGCTAACTTTCCTTCATTTTTACGTGTCCAAATATTTTTTAGAAATATTTCTACAAGTTTGTAAATTAATTACCAAGGCCTGCGTGAATTGCCTCTCTGTTTCGTAAATCCTATTTACTAATAGTAAATTACTATTAGTCTTTCTGGAACCTTCGAATTTTACTTTATAATTAAATTTTTCCACATTTTCGTAAACGGAGTAGAAGTATGACAAAATTTTGGAAATATTTCAAGTTTTACCGGAAAATTGGGAAGTAAGTGATTGTAAACGTTTATAAGTTTACCGAATTTTACAAAGTTACCAGAGACTGCGTGAATTGGCTCATTATTTTTTAAGAGTGCATCCCCGCACACGATCCGAAAGGTCTTAACCTTTTACCCGAGAAGAACTAATACCATGTCCCAGCTGACTTTTATCTCTCAATCAACTTCAACCCGACCTTAATGCTGTCGTCGACTTATTAGTCAAGAAGACCAACGACCACTTTCTTTCACACCTCCTCGCATGCATTTTCCCCCGAGTGAAGAAACAGATCTACCAACTAATCCGCAACAGCCAGCATCTTCTTACGAAAGAACAAAGACACCCACCAGTCAGCTTACTTACTTACTTACTCACTTATTTACTTTTACTTACTTCCGCAAAGTATTTTACTCTCACTCTTCCATCCAGGTACATGTAACAAATGGCTACATGCTTAATTACGAGGGAGCGGATATGTATTTATTTTATGGCGACCGAACTCTGTCAAACTTTGTCGATGTACTCCTGAACTTGCATAGATCACAAAAATTTCTAAATACCTATATTGTTTTTTTATACATATTTCTAGATTTTCAGACAAGTATTTAAATATTTCCGCTATTATTTAAAAAATACGTATGCAAATGTTTAAGATATTTTTTTAATACATAGTTTGTAAATATTTCAACGATGTAAATGAGACAAAATTGCTTTGCTTAAAGAAATTCAGAGCATTACATTCAAAAATTCAAGTCCTGAATTTTGATCTCATAAAAATCATGAATTTTCTTACGAAACACCACTCCCACTTGTACTAGGTCACTTGGTAGCGGCTTAAAGTACAGTTGAACTCTCATCTAAAATTAAGATAATCTTAACTTCTTGCGATCTAACTACTTTAAAGTCGTACTTTGAATCATCCAGGGAATAATTTCCGTTCCACCAGCCGACTTTCGACTGTTAAGTAACAACCAAACAAAACCAAGTCACCACCCACACAAAATCCACAAGTTGATCTCTCAAAGAAAAACTGGGTAAGATATCTAATCAGGATCTACCGTATTGTATCGAATTTCATGACATATTTTCTCACTCCTTCTTTAACAAGGTAGAAGATAGAGTTGTACTTGTGCCCATGTCCGTGTCATTTACACATTTAAGACATGTTCCACAGTTTAATTGAAGTAGAAATGTGGGGCATACCGTAAAAACTGCAAATTTTATAATAAATCTTAACACCATTTTTCATGCCCTGTCAAAAATGCCACTAATTTAAATATTTTCACGCCATACCCAAAGCTGCCCATGATCCCACGACACTCATACTCTATTTCGGATCAAGAAAATCTTGATGTTTGCCCAATTTTCCCCCATTTAAATTAATGTCCCAATTGCCCCCACGAACCCAGCCTTATACTAAAATTCCACGCCATTTATTCCTTGTCCAAAAATGTCCTGTCCATCTTACAACTCTATGACTAACAAGTTTCCCAAATTTTCCCATGAACCCAAACCCACACAAACAAACTCCCTTCCTGATCCAAACTGAAATCCAATCCAATCTTGACTGAAAAGTTACCCATCTCGTCTTCGTCGAGGTACGACCTCGTGCCCTCTTATCTAATCTTTAGCTTTTTTTACTCTTAAGTGGTTGGTGTGATCCGTGTGATGCGATATATGTACGACAAGGAAAAAAAGAGGTGTACGAATAAAGTACTCACCTTTACACTCGTGTGGATCTCGGGACGTGCCGCGACCCCAGGGTCGATCCAAGTAGAAGGGCTTGCACCGCTCGCAGTCACGACCGGCCGTATTGTGTCGACAGTCACACGTCAACTCGCCTCCATCCCTGCAGGAACAAAGTATAAAAATTATGTCTGCCTTGTGAAGCACGAAATCGAGCAGGTTTTCGTAACCCAGTAAAATTATGAAGGTTACAAATCTACCGTAAAATTGCGTACTTTTTTTGTAAAAATTTCAAAATTATTTTATACAGCTGGTAGAGCAGTTTAAAAAAATACACGCCATAAATCACACTGTAAAAACTTGCCAACAATTCATGAGAATTTGCATAATACGTAAAATTAAGAAGGTTACAAATATAGCGTAAAATTGCGTATGTATGTATTGTGTTTTTTGTAAACTAGTCACAATTTTTTTATAAAACATTTATGCAGTTATTCGCATTCATTGCCAATATTCGTGAGGGTTTTAGTAATCCAGTAAAATTCCAAATCTTATCAAGGTTACACATTTTTTGTACAAAACTTTAATACTTCATATCAGATTAAACTGACCATTTGAGATTTCAAACTTTACAATAATCTTGAGCTTTTTATCAACCTTTCCATTTTATTCAAAACAATAAATTCGTAAATTTACACACATTGGCGTAAAACTAAACCAAAAAAACTTAAATAATATCACACTAAATTGACCATGTCAATTTTCAAATTTTACAAAAGTCTCCCTTCTTCATCGAACCTTTGCATTTTATTCACGCCAATAAATTCCTAAATTTACCAACCTTGGCGTAAATCTAGAAACCAATTTCTCCTCATTTTATTTATCTACACCGTCCTCAGTCATCGGATCGGTTGTCTTGTCGGTGGAAGGAAAGTGGGGATTACATGACTAATTCTCTCCCCCTCTTTTATTAGCCGTCTTCACACAAAAAAACACCACACAATCCAATCCACAGTAAAACACAAGCCTACTTTTATTTCATGTTATCTCTACAACGACAAGTATTTACTACAAGGCGAGGACCATTCGGAAAGGATTGCATCAATTTTTCCATGATTTTGACCCCTTCAAACTTAGGATTAGTTGGTGATCCATTACATCAAATTTTTAACCCTTTTGCATGACCTCCTTTACGAAACAATGCACACAAACGGACAACATTGTCACTTATTTGAGACGCCGACACGAAAAACTCGAACGTATGGAAGTAGTACATTCACGCCATGGAGTAAATGCAGTCTATCTAATACCACCAGCAGAGATGATAAAGTGCATGTACATTCAAATTCCAGGCACAAAAAATGTGTAAAATCTCGGCAAGTCTCAATCTGACGGGGATTGCGTACAAAAGGACCAATGTTTAAAGAGCTGGATTCTCTGATAGTTTGACCTTCATGTCAAAGGGCACGTTTGGGTCAAGGTTGCCAGACGCATATTTTTTTAATTGTGCAATTACATGGGCATCGCCACGTGTCATAATTTCGTCTTTTTCATCCGATTTGCCTCAATTTCAAAATTTTCTCCCTTAGCTGCATTTAAACTTTACTTCTTGCTAACTTACGCCATAGTTGAACTACAACATTGGCGCAAGTTGGTAATAAGGTGTGAAGTATTTATAAACACAGCTTTAGAATTATCCACAAATCAGATCATACGATCTGACATATGATCATGACACCCATCGACATGACCTCATTTCGCACTTTTTCCTTTAAATTCGATAAATTTGAAACGTGTCAATTCCACAATTTACCCAAATCCCAGAAGAGAGCCTAGCAATTCAGGCACGAATATGAAACTCTATCATGGTCATCTAAATGTCATATTCGTCTGAAGGTCACTATTCCCCAGGGTAAAAAAAATCCATCACATCCTTTACGCCCATCCATCCATAAAACAAAGGCACCACAACTACAATTCCTTTACACAAAGATAATACAGGACACATCACATCTTTAACTAGATTGAGACCAATAATAATGTAATGTCCCGTTGACGTTGACCATCTCTCTCATCCCTTAAACTAAAAACTAAAAGTTCCAACCAACCCGTCCGCAAAGGACAAAAATAAAACAAGTCCCAGTCCACAAGACAAAAAAATATATAAAATAAAACAAACGACTTGGACGACTCTGCTTTGATTTTGAATCTTTGATCTCTCTCTGTCAACCCCTCGGACAAGTCCAGTCCACAAGTCCACACCAAACTGACCAAACAAACTTTTTCCATTCCTCACCGAAATAAAAGTCGACTCGCTAACTATTCTGCCAATACTGCTTAACGCACATCACAGGGAGAAAATGTGACCAAAAAAGGAAAAGTAAATACAATAAAGTATTTTTACAGGGTGGCTCAAAATTGGATTCCTTCTCGTCACCCGGCAAGTAATGTGTGTGGAATAAAGCATGTCATCATTTTCGGGATGGATTCATGGGAATATTTGTAATCTGGTAAAATCTGGTAAATATTTCTACACGTTGGGAAGGATCGTTTTATAAAATAAAATGTAAATTTTGATAAGTTTTGACACCGTTTGACATTTTCCAAATTTATTTAAATTGAAAGCACTGAAAAAATCAGGTAAATCAAAGTCCAAGACCAAGTAAGTCCAAGTAAGAGTCCAACTCCAAAGGGATTAGCGTCTCATAATATAGCTCACTTTATACCACATTTTCAACATCGAGGGTGTTCACGTCAACAACTTCGTAACTGTAGTACTAGTAAATGTCGTGAATAGCGTAAATTTGCGACGTTTACGAAAATCCTATGTTTGCAAACCTAATTTGTTTTAAACATTTACGAAAGTGAGGCAATTCACGCAGTCCTTGGTAACTTTTGTAAAATAATTTTACAAACTTTTACAAAAATAAAAAGACGATTTTATTCATATGTAATCAAATTGATTTTGATTTTCGTCAATTTACAAAAATTTGTAAGCTAAATTTCCTTCGAAATGTTCGTAAAATTTGGCAAAAGTTTACAACTTTAAGGATTTTACAATGTTACCAAGCACTGCGTGAATTGGTTCAAGTCTATTCATTTTCGTTACGAAGGTCTTCCACGTCTTTTGTAAATTTACGAATATTTGTTACTAACCCAAAATTACAAAGGTGATGAAAACTCTTGATGTTATTTTACAAAACTTTCGCCTTGGTTTTCTAAGAACATCCTCGTCGTGAATTACCACCCCAAAACGTAGCATCCTTCCTGCCCGACCCCCCACGTGAGGGGTGGACTGCACTGGATAAAAAGCGAACCAGGGAGGGACACGACACATATCAAATAAATACTTATTTACAAAACACGAGGATGAAAGGATTGCAGAAAAACAAAGTGCACACAGCGATTATTTACTAAAATATATCGTCGTCCTTGTTCTCATGGTCTGAATGTGACATATTTAACTGGATTGGTCCTGCAAATGACGGCTTAATTAAGTATCTCTCTCTTCTGTCCCTATTGATTTGATTCTTCCTACTTTACATACATATATAAAATCAAAGCCTTACTTATTTAGTTTGCGTCATGCCGGTTTTAATTAACCCACCAAAATTAAAGAGGTCAACCAAGATTACAATCACAACCACAACAAGGAAGGGAACAAATCTTGTATAAACTTGGCAAAATATCCCCAAAAATTACGGAGATAAATTACGCGGTTCATTGGTAACTTTGTAAAATCCGTAAGTCATAATTTTACAAACTTGTAACAAATCAAAATACGCCCTTGACCTGAGCAAGTTTCCAAAAATATGAAAGCTAATTTTCCTTCAAAATATTTGCAAGTTTAAAGAATTTACGGATTTTACAATGTTACCAAATACAGCGTGAATTGCCTCACTGTTATTATTATTATTCGATATCAAATCCTATAAGAAGTTAAATTTAATTGTATTTCATTTTAGAATAGTCTTTCACCTCATTCATTAGATGCCAACCCATAAATCTGTTATTGATGAACATGTAAAAATTTAAGAATAATTACGATTTCGGAATTTTAGTTAGACAAGTTTACAAAAAAATGTTAAAATAAGTTGGACGGTAAAAAATATACAAAAACATTTTACTTTGTAAACTTTGGCAACTTTTATAAAAAAATTGCACAAATTTATCTAGAAACCTTGGTAAAATGTAAAATTCGTGAATCCTCAAATTCAGTTCCGAAAAATCTATACTAAAACTTCATAAATTACCAAAATTTTTCAAAAATCCTTCCCCAATTTTGATTTCGCTTCACATTACCAAATCCCAATCTTAATTGGTACTCTACTTCATTACAAATTCATCCCAAAAAATCTTACTTGTTGCCCGCGTGGCACCGACTTCCATGTCCGTTACACTTGCATCGACCCCCCACCGCAAAGTCGGCCACGGCGTAGAACGTCCGACTCAGCAGAAGTCCTGTCGACGACGACGACGACTTTGCCCCCGCGCTGCTGCCAGATCCCTCCTGCAAGGAAAGTAGATTGACATTAATTAATTATTAGTCCAGGGTGGGGTACGAGACGACCCAGGATAATGACCACCAGCACCACGCAAGGAAATTGCCTCCTCTCATCATCATACCCATGCACCACCCAACCTAATTATAATTTCTTGGGTGTCTACTGTCTGGTGTACCCAATTTTAGGAAACATATCACAAAATCTCCCCCAAAATCAATCTAATCAGGGAAATAGAGATGCATTTATTTTATTTTTCTCCCCCAAAACCAGACCATTTTCGTCATCTCATCCATTACAATTTAACCGTAAGTTTCCAAAGAATTAAGCGTTGTACGATAAGCATGGCGTGAAAAGAAATGTCCAGCATTTTATTTTGCAAATGCTCGAAATTTTGAACATGATTATATAGATTCTAAACATTTTGACCAGGAAAATAAATGCCGAACATTTCAAACATGCAAATAAATGTCACAAATTTTAGACATGTTATTGAAGCGATTTACATTTTTAAATTGGAGAAAACTTTTATAAAATTAATTTACCGACATGGATGTTTCTTGCGATACAAGTTTTTTGTAACCTAATTGGCTTTTGTTTTTTATAGTAAAGTTGCAAACATCCGAGTGAATCAATAAGCTTGTTGAAAAATCTTCTAAAAAAGTATGGTATTTTTATCGTCACGTGTTTTTAAAATCTTTATTTTTGCAAATCAGGTCAAGCTATTGAAATTTTGGTTTACTTTTTTTTTAATATTTGACAAAGTAAAAAGATTTTCCATTGCATCCCAGAAATATGGCATGCCCAAAAAATCCAATGTACAACTCTGCTTCCAAACAAAATGAAACAAAGTAGGGATGCATCCGCCGTCCATGTGTTACATAACAAGTAAATATTAAGTTGTAGACTGCACCAGGACCAGCAGACGACTCGCCACGGGTGACGAAACCAATGACCACCACACAATTCAGACAGAATTCCTTCAAAGAATCTCATTCCTCTTTCGTTAAATTTTTACCCAAAATCCAGTCAGCCAGCCCTTTTATTTCTCTACCTCGACGTCCTTCCTGTTACTTAACTGGCAAGGATTTTACCCTCTCACCCATCTCACCTCACAAAAAACTAGGTAAATTCCACTTCAATAATTGAATAACATCCTCTCTCTCCACCTCTCTTTACAAATAAATACCTCTGAATCGAATCCCTCACTCGCACAACACGTTTCTAATGAGGCATGAAATTTAAAACGAAAATTTCTGGAAAATCTCTCTCCAACTGGAAATAAATTCATGACATTCTTTTCTTTTTCGGGGTAAAGAATGTGGTTACGTTTCTACGATTGATAACAGTTGCTTGCTTTTCCAAAATGTTTTTTCTTGATTTAGTAGTGGTAAAATGTCGGTAATATTTTGTCTTAATTTGGTAGTGGTAAAATGTACAGAGAGATTTAAACCGGCGACCAAATTGATAGTAGACTGTTATAAAAATCAAAGAAACCCGTTCTTTCACGGCCCATGCAGAATTATGCAAAAAAAACGGTTCTGCAAAATAGACCCGACAAAAATTATTCGCAGAATTACGCACATGAATTTTCATACCTCGATATTCTTGCCACATATTTTCTTAGGAATTCCATAATTCTCATCCGACCTTCTCCGACTGACCAAACCTGATGGAATGAGAAATCACCACTCCCCCCTCGCTGAAAATCCCCCTCAATCGAATTTACCTACTCAATGAAACAATGTTATTCCCAGAAAGCAAACGTAGTTATTAAACTATGCTGCGAGTTTTCCACGAATAAATATTTCACTCCTTGTCACCACCATCGTCAAACACCCATTTATTACAAACTTTTAGCAAAATGCCAAACTAAACCAAACCATCGTCCAAATTCCTTAAACACCGGAACCGGAACTCACACGATTTGTGTGTATTCACCGAAATCCGAACCCTCTACAGAGCCATTAACGCAAATCAAAATAATTCGCTGGCAAGGCAAAACCAGTGCAAAAAAATTGACGAATGTTAGGAAAATGATGTTGCATGTGGTCCCAGGTTGGTGACGATAATTGTGAAAAATAAATTCAAGTTTTCTTACAATTTTTCTAGGAAATGTAAATTATTTCTTACATTGCTACCACCGTTCGATAACACATCATTGCCTGAAATATTGCAGAATTTATAGTATAACCCCGCTTTTAAATAAATAAATCTTCGGTAAAAAATCAGAACTAGAGCCATTAAAGCAAATAAATAAAATAATTCGCTAGCAAAATCAACCAGTGCAAAAAGTTGATAAATGCGAGAAAAATTATCTTGGTGTCAATAATTGCAAAATAATCGAAACTCAAATTTTCTATGAATCAATCTCTAATATTTTTCCCGGAAATGTCCATTAATTTCATGAGCAATTATTTATTACCAGCGCCCGATAACAAATCGTTACCTGAAATACTGCAGAATTTACAGTGCAACTTTACAATTTTTCCGCTGGTAAATAAATAAATCTTGGGTAACACAAGCTTTTGACTTTTTGCTAAAACTTTACTTCCTTAAAATGTCGCTTGTCAACGTGCCACAAGATTAAGTGAGTGAGATAGACTCGGAACAAAGTGGAATTTCAAAACGTTTTCCAAAACTACTCAAGTTTTGGCTAATTGATGGCCATTGCTCATGTCACCACCAAACCCTAACCAAACTCCGTAAAACATGGATTAACTCCTTATTTAATAAGGAACAAGGTGATAATGGAGAGGGAGCAGGACGTAAAAGATGTCAACTCATTTTCACAGTGCATAAACGCGAGACGAGATTTTATCAAAAACTGAATAAAAAATTTTTTAAACGAGATTTTTAGTGGTGGACAAATTTTGTCAAACTATATAGATTTTTAGTGATACCAGAATTCTGTCAAAAAACGAGGTCTCTAGTTATACAAAAATTGTGTTAAAAATGAGATTCTTAGTGGTATCAGAATTTTGTAATTAAAAAAAACATGAAATTTTTGTAACCTGGATTTTCAAGAAGCAAAAGCAATTTTCTTTAAAACAAATAACAAGCTTTCATTCCAGCCAAATCAGTTCTTATCTCATGAAATTAAAAAAAATAGATTTTGATTTTTTCCTTAAAATTCGAATTTGTATCTTGTAATAAACGAAATTCGTCCGAAAACCCGTATCAATCCTTCCTCAAATTTACCTCATCCTTCATGCACGTGCCCCTCTCCTCCAACAAAGAATCATTTCCTTGTCTTGTCGACATACGTGAAGGAGAAAACCATAATAATAATTGTCATGTCATCCCTCTAATTTACAATACAATTTCCTTTTCGCCTCGCGCATGGAGATGATCTCACTTAAAAAGAGGGATAAGTAAGAATCCGACCCTACATAGCTTCATTTTCGTTATTACCACGACGGAGATAATCACACAATGTTATGCTACACGTTTGTCCAGTCCAGATGCATGCTGATCATGACCATGACCACGTGGCCGTAACAACAACGAGTCGAAAACTGCATAACAAGAAGAAGAAGAACGACTTAACTTTTTTTTTAACCTGTTGAATTTCTGATTTATTACAGATTACGTAATAATTTGCATTTCAACGGCTCAACCGCATTCATTGTTCTCTTCATTTAAGCGATTACGCACTTTTAGAGGATGCACGCTTAAAAATTCGGTAATAAAATTTCTCACAGTAAAGATTAGAAAGTAGTTTAATTACCAAAATGAGGACAAAAACTTGACCAAATCGGTAACAAATTGGTAACCAAACTATATATGTTACCAAGATGGTAACAATCTGGTTAAATTTTCGAAGGAAATGAGTTCAACGTGCACCTGCCTCTAAAAGTTATGATGTTTTACTTACTTACATGGAATTGTAACTGATGTTTTACATGGAATCCATCCATGCATATGCAAATTTGCAAGAACAAAAGAGGAAGCCAGCAAAATAAATAATACTAAATTTCACCCGAAACAATTAAACTCATGTCCTCTCCACGTTTTAATTATTATTATGGCGAAACGAAAGGCAACCCACGCGTGAAAAGGTAACTAAAACCTAAAAAAGGTCAAGTAACATAATACCAATATTTACTCGATGCCAAATCGCTTATCTTTCCCACTTTTCTAATTCTTACAAAGCAAAATTATGTAAAAAAAAATCTGTTATCTGAAAACATTGACATTTCAGAAAAATCCATTTTTGATAAAATTCCTAATTACTTAAATACAAGAAATAAATAATTACCAAAAGTCTTTCAAGTTGGCAAATCCTGTCTTACGGCTTGTCAACCCTTTTATCCTTATCTCAACTTCAACAACAACTTTTCACCGTCAACTTAAAAATATAAAGCCACGTGGTTTTATCGTGTATCTGTAATCTTGATGATGAATAAGTAAGTCATCAAAGACGGGACAGCACATTATTTAATATCCCCTCCTGTCAACTATTTAGGTATTAATCTCCTCAATTGGCACGAAAACAAGGATCCCATTACCAGTACCACGTGTCCAATCATGTACGACTAGCAATTTGGTGGTAATCTTATGCTGTAATATTGAGGCAATTCACGCAAGTCTTGGTAACTTTGTAAAAAATTCCGTAAACTTAAAAACTTTTACAAAATTTTACAAATATTTCTGAGGAAATTTGCTTACAAATTTTTGTAAACTTGCTCAGATCAAGGGCGTCTTTTTATTTTGTAAAAGTTTGTAAATTATTTTACACAATTTGCGGATTTTACAAAGTTATCAAGGACTGCGTGAATTAGAATTGCCTCATTGATATTTAGATATTTACCGATAAATTCAAATTTTACCCATTCGGTGTCCAAAAAATTGATAAAGTCGCAATTTAAAAACCTACTAAAAACATGTATTTCAAGCCTCATAATAATCATCTAAATTCTAGTTTTAATGTGTCACTAAATATTTAAAATCCTGACAAAAATGTGCGCATCACACAAAGCGACAGACAAGTCTGATTGACACGTGTTGTATTAAAATCTTTCTCGACTGGAAATTTCTACTAAACAAAACAGCTATAAAATAATGATGACATGAAGACGACGAGAGACTTGAAAATTGGGATAAATAATAGTAATAATCCGTCCATCCCACTCCTCTTCAAAGGACTTGTCAAAACTTTGTGTAAAAACTTGACACACATTTATTAAATCCATTCAGTCATAATTACACGTATGTAATAATGACTCTGTCCACTCCTCTCTGGAGGAATTAACTTGCTGAATTTGAAGTTCTCAAGTAAATATCCAGACCAAATGTAACACAATTTTGCTATTATTTCATATCTGCACTTTCCACTTCAAAGCTTTCCTCCAACCCAAAAGAAAAATCATTAAGAAATGGACACATTCTGATCCCAGCTTTCGCATCCTTGATCTCATCCAGCGGTCACCAGGTCAAAACAATCAAGCCTCCAAAAAATAATATAAATTTGACTCTCCACTTGACCTTCTTCTCAAGGTCGTGACCTTTTCACCTGGAAGGTCAACCATTCAACTAACCAACTTCCCCTCGGTCCTCGTCACCCTCGATTAAAGAAACCAGAACTAAACAAATTTCTCTCTTCGTGCAGAGCGATAATTTTCATATTTAATTATGCAAATATTTATTATTTCTTGTGCAAATTAATTGTGCAAAATATTTAATTATGCTAATATTAACCGTGCAAATCTTACCTTTCTGTTCAACCCGAATTCCTTCCCGAAGATATCATCAGTCCTCTTATCGTCCATGTCGTCCTTCCCACCGCCCAGATTTAGCGTGGTCGCAGTACCATCAATCAGCGCGTTGGACGACTCGTTATGCACGTACGCGATGACAGCCTCCTTATCCAGGCTGAGCTGACTGTTAAACTTGACGCTGGGCGCGTTAGCGAGGGATTCCATTTCTCCAGCGAGACCGACCAGGTCAGCATCGGGGGTCAAGAGGCGGTGAAACACGACCCGAATGTCCGTCGCGGTTACCCAGTCCTGTAAATAAAAATAACAAATCATATTAGCGACAATTGGCAAAACCCCTTTTTTCGACTATCGGCAAAAAACTAGGTTTTCGCAATCACCGATCACTACCATTTTGGCTGGTAATCAATTAAAGGAAATGAATTAATTGCAATTAATCAATTATCAATCAATTAAATTAATAATCAATTAAAGGCAAAATTTTGGCAGTTTTTTTGCTAGCTGGAAAAATCAAGAGATGTGATGTGACGTCGATTTGATTTAATTCGAATGTTCGAATGTTTGTAAATCTAGTAAACTGCAGGTTTTGTACTATCATTATATTTAAATTAAGAGGCCAACATGATCCGTTTAGCTTGGTTTGAGATAGATTTGTAACCTGATTTTTTTCTTTGTGAATTTTGAAAACGAAACGCATGGTAAATTTGTAGGGCTACAAACATTAGTTTTAATTTATGGAATTTTGAAATAGTTTATATGTCAAAGTTGTAAAAATGTTTGGAAACCACGTCGATATTGATATTTTAAGTTTTCCTATATTTAATTAACAGATTTGTGTTGTCGACCCTCCAAAATATGTATATCGAGTTTGCAAAACTCCTTTACGTATTAATTTAGTAAAATCATAATTTACGTATTAATTTAGTAAAATCATAATTTTTTCCGCAAAAATATTTACAATTTTTGCAATGTTTCATTCCATATCGAAATTATGGAGAAATTTGACTAACAAATAACGTTAAAAGATTAACTTTTCTCCTTGCTGCCACTGATTACAAATTATTGTATCGTTTACTCAATCGTTTTCGTTTCCGAAAATACATAATTTTTAATCAAAGCAATTTTAAAAATAAACAATGAGGCAACTCACGCGAGAATTGGTGGCTTGTAAAATCCGTAAATTTCGTGAAATATTTTTACGAAATAAACCGACGCTCTTGATCGGAATAAGTTTACAAAAATTTGTGTGCTAATTTCCCTTCGAAACATTTGTGAAATTTTGGTAAATTTACGGATTTTACAAAGTTACCGAAGCCTGTGTTAGTTGCCTCATTGGCAAGTTTACTGAATTTACAAAGTTACAAACATCCAGGTGTTAAAAACAAGACATTAGACAATTCAAGCTGCTAATTACTGCGTAAACTTTATATACGCACACAAATCTCACCCACACCCATTACTTAATTTGTCCCCTATTAAAAAATAATCTCACAAAATTAATTTACATACAAACCCTGGCATCTAATCAATTAATCATCCCCTCATAAAACAAGAGACTACGTCGACTACGAGACGAGACAAATCTTTACACAGCTGAGACTTTCATAATTAATCACGAATGCAAACAACGCATTTTAAGACAAACATTGGCCCGGCGTCCACTCCCCGTCGAAAATGTGTCACAGTGACAAATAAGCAAATTACACTTTTCCGATTCAAACTTGTCCCTCAAATCGGCACGTTTAATCAAAATCTTTGTACTTTATTTTGTGCACGCACCACACGCAATGTCATCCATCGATCCATCATTCGTAAAGTTTTTTTTACTTGGTCAATCAAATCACCAACTGAGATTGAATATAAAAAATCTAACTTTCTGAGCGAATAGTACGGCACCAACCACGTGCACGTCAACAATGACAGAGGTATCAATTGTATTGTAGGTAAGAATTTAGTTAGGAGGGGGTGAACGTAAAGGATGGTGTCAAAATTGGGGGTTATGGGTTAGATTTCTTTAAAACATGGGACAAGAAAATCTCACAAAAAGTAATGGGAATTTATACCCCGTGTTTTTTCAGTAAATCAGAAATGTATACGAAAAACTGATTAATGAAACGGGATTTCTACCACATCGTTTTTTTCTGCTATTAAAAAATTACGGGAACATTAGATTTTTAGGCGAAAAATAAACGCGATTTCGACCACATCGTCTTTAAGAGAAAAACCTGACGAAAAATTGATTTTCATTCAATTTCAAACACCCAAAATTCTTTAAGGTTATTTTTTATTTAAGGAAATAAATACGGTGACTTTCTTAAAGTCCGACATTTTTTTACAGAATTGTAAACAACACGTAAAGATTTTGTAATAAAAAAAAATCGGGTTTTCTGCCTAAAAACAAAGAAGTCCTGACTCAAGCTAAAAATCAAATCTATGATTTTTCGGGGATCATTTCCATCGTAAATTTCTCTCCCAAAAAAAAAGTTCCCATCCTTTCTGCACCTCCCCTCATCACAAAGTCACATCCGCACACGAATCGAATTTATTTAAACAATACGTTAATTCAGAGGAGGAGAAGGAGGAGACGGAAAGATTTATCAATTCCTACGCGACTCAAATATTCATAAACTGCATGACGTATCACATCACAAAATAGTTGCAATTTAGCCACCAGGTAGTTCATATAGGTAGGTAATTGTTGCATATAAATCATCCATTGTTGCCTCATTGTTCATGATAACCCTCAAACTGCATATTATTCTCTCTACCATCAGAAATCATATCCAACCAATCTTGCTTCTCGGATCTCGGCGAAAGACTGCAATAAATTTTTATCACGCGACGAACCTTACATCACACCAGGCCAGCAATCACTAAAAACTAACCAACTAAGGATAAATATGCATTCTTCTTCCCACAAGGCAGAATTATTTAGAGGGTGAAGCACTTTTATGGGAATGTCTTGTCCGTCCGACTGTATGGCTGTCCGTCTGTCCACAATAACTTTCGAACGTTAAAAGCTAACCAACTAAATTTTTCGTCCCACAACTTGTGGGCCACAAGGCAGCGTTATAAACGGGATGAAAGACTTTTATGGGAATGCATTGTCTGTCTGTCCACAATAGCTTTCGAATGTTGAACTTCCACATGCGATATATCTTGATAAATATGTTTCTAATTTTTGGGAAAAGTAAAATTCATCTAGCGTTTATAGGTCATAAGGCACGATGCACCGTGTCGCGTTCAAAATTTAAAATCAATCTAAAAAATATTCGAAATTTTAGTTTTCACCGTTTTAGACATAATTTGACACCGATTTTCCCTGACCGCTTTAAACTGAAAGCAAGGTACGATATTCCACTTGGTTTCACCCTTTTGCTGCATCTAATTTATTACAGACTTACAAGCCCAACGATAAACAGGGTGCCCTTTTCTCTCCTCATCTCAACCAACATCTCTCCTCATCCACATATGCAATGCATTTAACGTAAAGGAAGAAATCAGACAAAAAATAAAAACAAAACGCCTCCGGTTTTGGAAGAAGGAAAGAAAGAACGAACCAACGAAACGAAACCTTTCCTTGGCAAATTATTATTCAATATTCATGAAAACATACTATACCAACCAACCACCATCATCCTGTGATGCATGCGGGTCTCGGGTGTTACACAAAAAAAGTTGTGCCACGCTTCATTAAATCGTGTCCGTAAAATAAAATGCAACCCATGCAGCAGCTTCTCCTATTTCTTGCAAAATCTCAATTATTTTCATTAACAGACTTTGCACAAGAAAATGAAATGATCTTAAGTAGAATTCTGGAAGAATTGACGACGCCCCCAGAAAATAAATCGAGCAACAAAAGGATTCTATCGCAGCATTGTTTTGATAAGTGGTGGTGGTTGGTGTGGGATGTGTAATTAAAATTGCGTCTCTTTTTTTCTACGGTACGATCCTCTACTTAAGACTAAAATACTGCCAGTTAAAAAAAATCCAATCCAAGAAAGAAAGAAGACGGGATCCACATATGTATTTAGTATTTACGAGGAAGAGGCAACCCACCCGTGCCTTTTGTTGTAGAAATATTTATGTCTTTAAAAAACATCGGTCTGTTGTCCTGTCTGTATCCATGCGGGATGAAGTTATGACTCAATTTTTCACGCAGCCAGGATCTGAATCTTGTGGAATAAAATGGTATGAATTTTGGAATTTTTGAGAAAGAATTGGAAAGTCGTGGCCATTTTAAAAACTGAGTCGTATTTATCAAAATAAAATTCAAATGATGATCGAAATTCGGCATTTGTTGCTTTCTTAAGGAAAAATTCTGAATCTTGTAAAAATCGCATGAATTTTGAAAGTTTAAGAGAGAATTTGGAAATTGCGGGCATTTAAAAAAATATGAGTCGTATGTACAGTTCAAAATAAAATTCACGATTTTTGAGAAGATAGAAATTCCACAGATGTAGCAAATTTCTCAAAAAATACAAAGCAAGAGTTTTGAATCTTATAAAAATCGGATGAATTTTTTCTTAGGATGAAAATTTGAAAGTCATTTTAAACTCTAAAATTCACGATTTAACAAAAATTCAACCTTTCCAATCGTACAAATATTAATACAAAGGAAGAATTTGTAGAACAAAAATGGTGTTTTGCGTTACCTGAAGGACTGGACTGTTGTCAAAGTCAATGGCACTCGGCCTTCCTTCGAGAGTGGAAAATGCGATCCGATTCCCCATTCCGGTATCTTTTATGTGACTATCCGTGCAAATCGCTTCCTGTTCATTGGCCCGTGTAATAGACGCCCTGTAATTAATTATTTATTTATTTGCATACTAATTAATTAACTAACTATTAATCATTCATTTAACAAGTTCTCACGACAAAATTGATAAAAAATTGTGAAGATTTTCATTCATCCACAAAATTTGTAAACTCGACAAATTTACAAATGTTTCATTGCTCCAATTGAATTCACAAAGCGTTACATTTTACCCACGTCAATCGCAACAATGAGGAATTTGATAAAGTGTTAATTTGCATAATGTACAAACTTTTCTGAGAATAAATATAAGTAAGGCAATTCACGAAAGCTTGTTTTCCAGTGTTTTGTCACATTCAGAAGTCGAATTTAATGGATTTTTGAAGGTAAGTCAGATGTCTAGTAAAGATAACTAAATTCTTTAAACCAAAATTTCTCATGTTCGCATCAACTTTACAAATTTCCGGAAAGAATAATTTTACACACTTCAACTTCATTAGCAAATTAATTATTTCGACCAGAAATAATACATACGCACAATGAGGCATTTCACTTTGGCTTTGGTAACTTTGTGAACTTGACGTAACAAAATTTTAGGAATATTTCTGAAGAAATTTATCTTTTAAGTTTTTGTAAGTTTACTCAGATCATGGGCGTCTCTTTCTTTGGTAAAAGTTGGCAAAATGATTGTACGAAATTTACGCATTTTACAAGGTTACCAAGGCCTACGTGAATTGGCATAACTTCCATCTTTCTCTTTTTTACTCACCTGTTCGGTCTCCCATACATTTTCTTACAATGGCTCGAATAATACTGAAACGGTTGCCACGTCCGGCCAAAATCCATGCTCTTAAAAATCGCCATTGAGTCCGGCTTCTGTCCACAAAACTGCAACGAGACGTACGTCAGTTCAAACTTTTTTCCCAAGTTTAACGTCAGTGTGACATTGTCGGCGTCATTTTCGAACGGCGAGGTTTCCCAGCACGTCAGATTATTGGGATTGTTCAGATCCGTCATGAATCTCGGGGGCCGGGAGAGCTTGGAGTCGGACGCGTCGCAAATGTGACACGTCGACTGTGGCGAATCCATTTGGTGTTGGCGATTAATCTTCCCATTTCGCAGGAACAGACCTCGCGTGGTGCGGCTCTTCCCGCCATTATTTTTCTTTCCGCCGCCTTGCTGTTGTTTTCCGCCGCGTCGCCCTCCTTGGCGCCGTGGGGGTCGTGGCGTTGTCGTCGTAGTGGTCGTGGTAGTCGTCGTTGTGGACGTTGTGGTCGGTGTGGTGGCGACTTCCACGGCGGGATCGTCATCCACGACGCTGTCGTCGTCCCCGTCTTCTCCGTCGGTATCTTCTTCGACGTAGTCTTCCTCGTCGAAAAATTTGTTGTCGTCAGTGTCGTCGCCAAAGCCGAGTTCCGCGCTGGACGAGGAGGAGGAAGATGACGACCCGTCTTTTCCGGTTTCCTTGAGAATTCCGTGTTTCGAGGAGGACGTTTCCATTCCAGAGAGCAGACTGAATTCCGAAGAGGAGGAGGATGACGAGGAGGAGAAAAATGGGGACAATTCTTTTCCCCCGGCGTCGATCAGGTCGGGATTTTCGGTGGGGTCGTCTTCCTCTTGGGGCGGGTAGTGGGGAAACCCGACCCCCGTTCCGTCAGAGAGGAAACACATTCGGGATGGGGCTTTCACCCCGCAGGAATGGGTCACTTCGACGTCACGACCAAAAGCGGCGTTGACAAAGTCCGGGATGCATTTTTTGGCCCTGTGAGGAGTAATTTTAATTAGTTACAATTATTTATATGCGCAATCGTAGTAAACTCTGTAAAATTACAGATTGAGACATCTTCCTTACAAAATCAGTAAAGTATGCAAATGTTGGAATTTTTACAAAGTGTGGCGTATGAAAATCTGGCTATGAATGAATCAAATGCGTCAACTAAACTGCGTAATCCATACGCGTCAACCAAACTGCGTAATTCATACACAATTACAAATCAAGACAGGTTGTTAGCAATCTTGTAAAAAATCTGTAACATAATCCACTTAAATTTGTCACAATTTATAGGCCGACTTTATTGTGCAGTTTTATATTTTCAGACGGGTTTTACGCATCATGCAATTTTTAATTTACAAGTTACAAAGGTTACATACAATGTATGATATGCAAATCTGCCTGTTAATTAGTCGAAATTTATGTGTCAACTTTGTAAACTGTGTAACTCATACATGATTACAAATTAAGTTAGTGATCAGTAAAATAATCCCATCAAAATTATCACAATTTACACGCCAACAATGTAAACTATGCCATTACACATTTCCAGACGAACTTCATCAAAGTTTTTATTTAAAAATAACAAACTTTCAGATGCATTTCTCCCCTAAAAACAAAATTGACCTCGTAAAAATATCTGACCTGGACGAGCCACCCCCATTCCCACCACCACCACCACTCATCGCAGACCCCGCCGCCATTGCAGAGTAACTTGCATGATGACCAACATCTTCATAACACGGATCCACATTCGCCGATGGGGACGAAACGCCAAACATTTTCCAGGAAGAACCACTCCCCCCGCCGCCGCCGCCACCACCGGACGACAGCGACCCGGCGGATAAGCCTAATAAACCCACCAACACGAAAAAAACCACCATTCTGCCTCGAAGCTGCATCTTTTTCAATTTTCTTTTTTTCAGAAATCAATTCTTCCTTCACTACTTTTTATGAAAAACAGTTTCACATTTTTCACTCACTGGACAACAATTCAACACTCATAAAACTACTTTTTTTCAGAATTTTATTTTCCCGTCTCACATTTCCTGCCGTAAGTACCGTGTTGTGTCTCACTATCTTATTATTACCTCACTTGTCCTATTGTCCTCTTATTTCGCGTATTGTTCTTCTCAACAACAATACAATGCACACTTTCACTCCTTATCAAATTGGTAATTAGTCACGTGCAATTAACCTTTCAATTATTTTCGAAATAATCAGAAACCCTCCAGAAACAACTTGCCCCCCAAAAAAGTCCAAATTTTGAAGAGAAGCGTCCTCTCCAAATTGCGATATTTTTGACGCACACACAAAGTACAACGTGTTTCAACTAACTTTCACGGTTGGAAACTTTGGGAAAATTTCTGGAAAACGAGAACAAGAGAAGAGCGTGGGCTTCCTTTGGGCTTCAGTGCCGACGAGAGACTGAGGAGGCAAGAATGCAGACTCGCTGGTACCACCGAACAACAGGGGGCCCTGCGTGAAGGATGCCGGTATCTTGGGGAGGCGTCAGGCAACAGAGGTCAGCACGGGTCAAGGGTCAACAGCGAGGTGTGACGGACACACTAAAAATGTATGACGTCCAGATTGTATGACCCCGGAGAAAATAAAAATCCATTCAAAATTGGTGACTATCTTTATTATTATTTATCATTTTTGGAGTTTTGCTTAAGCAATTTGGCAATAATTTGAGATTTTTAAAGCTATTTTTATCGAAAAATTTCATGATGTTTGTATGCATTTCATAAATTTGACCACTAAATCGACATCATTTTAGACAAATAAGTAATTAAATTTACCAGGGTACAATAGCTCTCTGGTCATTTTTACCTTAAAACACTCCTTAAATCAGTATTTTTATGAAAATTGTACTCGTTTTTGTATAAGAAAGAACATCGTACTCGTGGGGAAGATGAGATGCGATAAAGCTCTACTCATCTCGTTTAGATCGTCTCATCTTCTGCACAGTTTCGATAATATGTATGGTTTTAGTTGATGCTTAATAAGTGCTCGAGCCCCTCGGGAAAATCTGGACCTGAAATTCAAATGTTTTCAAATTTTGTGGCTAATAATGACCAATAAATTTTATCGAGGCAATTCACACAGTCCTTGGTATTTAACTTGGTAAAACTCGTAAAATCATTAAATTTGCAAACTTTTACAAAATTTGAGTGAGTTTAATGCCTGCCAATCATTTTGTTTTTAAGTCTAAAATATATTCAAATTTTAGATAGATTTATAACTGCAAGCGTTGTTTCTTTTTGCCTTTGCACTTTGAAAGGAATTTGGATTTTAATTTTAAACATTGTCTCATGCTTTTAAAAAGTTGAAAGTTTCTGAAAGTTTAGAATTGTGTATTTGTCAATGTTTATATATTTTATGGTTACATAAAAGTCCGTTTCTGTATTCGGAAATTTTCAAATTACACAATTTTGAGCAAAGTAGTTTTTTAAATCCGTGCGTTTTAAAAGTAATTTTACAAAATTTTACAAAATAAAGAGACGCCCTTGATTTGTGCAAGTTTTAAAAAACATGTATGCTAACTATCCTTACAAATATTTGTACAATTTTGAAACAGTTTGCAAGTTTGCAGAATGTGGGGTTTTTAAAATGTGAAATTAAACTACACAATTTAAATTTTGCGAGTCATGAAAAAGTTGTAAATATATATATATAAAAATTTCACAAATGCAATTTTTTAGGTTCGAAAAATCAAAGTTTCAAATGAGGAAAACATTATCCTCCTACATTTCAAGTTTTATGAATTTAAGCAATTATAAAATAAGGAATTCGGCTTCATAGACTTCAACCTAATATTTACAATGCTTCTCAAATCGACAAAGCTTCATGGGCAGTAAGTAGATTTTATCTTTTTCTTCAAAACTATTCTGTATTCCCATCCAAAAAGGGGAATCTGACCTTTTTCCCTTCGTTCAAGTCCTCTCTATCCTTAAGGTGTTATTAGATTAAACGTGACATAGATTTGTAACCCCTCCCCCCCCCCAAATTCCTGGCAAAAAATTGCCAACCTTTTGTGACACAACAATTCTAAAATATTGTGGCAAGTTAAACGACGTTAATGATTTTTTTGCTAATACAGAATAAATTTAAATGTTAACAGATTCGTCTGTAGCAAACCTGTGGAAAAGTTTATGGGAAAATTTAAAAAAAAGAAGATTAAGCTGCTTAATTTTGAAAATTGACCACAACTTAAAATTTATGGAAAGCATTTTTTTTATTCAAATTCGCTGTAAATATTTCTGCTAAAGTTTTCCGGCCCATAAATGAGATCTCTTCCCTGCTTCCCTTTATTCAAGTGGGATTTGATGTGGCACATAAGTATTTCCAATCTTAAAATGCAATTTTAAGACATCGGATGGCCTCAATTTAATGAGTTTTGAGATAAATGCAACTGTTCACACTTTAATGTAAAGTTAATTTTTGGGACTTCGAAAAAAATGCTAATTCATCTGCCATGTTTTCACAATGAATTTCCTTAAAAACCACTAATTTTTTCAAACAGATAGTTTTGTGGGACCTAAAATTAACTTTGCATAAAAACCATGGAAAGATGCATTTGTCTGAAATCTCATTAAATTGATGCCATCTTAAAAATTTTCACTTTAAGACATTGACCGAGATTGAAAATCTATGCCACATCAAATCGTCATCCAATAGCACCTTAAGGACCCTTCAGGCATAGTTGTTGTCTTCTGTTTGTTTGCAATGCACACCACGGCTGACAACAATGCATTTTTCTACCAATAGTTAAGCAAGGTGTGGTAACAAACAACTCCGATCCGTAATAACAATCCGTCCCACGAAGAAACCAACCTGCAAACTGAATTCCTTTTGAAAATACAATTCCGTTTTCCTTGCCCAAAATTCAGTTCATTCATGAACCGGAAATCGACACTGAACGACAGTCAAAACGAAGATGATGCCAAGGTCGAATAGATATTACGGGCAGGCTATTTAACAAAATATTAAATTATTCATAACTTTCTAAACATTTTGGAATTATTGGTTTCAAAATGATTTAAATAAAAATCAATTTTTTAGAAACATCAAATCCACGTCATTAAACGATTTTTTCATACTCCAAAGTACAAGAGTTTAAATTAAGGTTCTTCACAATCTGCTGTCTAGTTTTAATCGTAACATTTCCGTATGCAAATTTGGGTTCATAACTTTCTTTAGTGTATAAAATTATGAAATTTGAGCAATTTTTTTAGGAAAAACGATTTTTTTAAGTTTAGTGTTTCAATCGACGTCGCTTTCCATTTTTTTTATAATTTGAAGAACATCAACTAAAATTAAGGTTAAAGTGAGTTTTTTTCGTTTACGTAAAACACAAACTGATAACTTCTTAACAGAGGGAATTTCCTAATTCATGACAATGTTGCCGTGCATAAATTTCCGATTTTTTTAGAAACTTTTGGTCTTAATGGGAAAAATTTGCTAGTAACATATCTAAGATCGACATCGCGTTACAGTTTTTTGATAATCCGGAATTAAGAAATATTAAACAAGATAACTTTCGCTGCTTTCAAATTTTAACATAACATTTTTACATACGATTTATCATTTTCTGTAAAGAAATTTTAGAATTGACAAGTTATTAAATTTGAGCGTTTTTTGAAGAAAAAAAACACGGAATTTTTTTTTAGTTTTTTGTCTCAAATTGACGTCGCTTAACAATTTTTTAAGTAATTTAAAGTTTGCCTACTTAAGTTTAGGTTCAAGTAATCTTCTCTCGAAACGTAAATAAAACTCAAACAAATAATTTTCTAGCTGAGGCAATTTCTTACTTTATAACATTCTTGTCGTGCATAAATTTCTGAATTAAAAACAAATTTTAATCTGAATCTTCTAACGAAAAGTGGAAACTTTTTAGTGAAATGTTACAAATCGACGTCACATGACGATTTTTTCGTAATACAAAATCGAATAATTTAAAGTGAAGTTTTGCCTTTATAGATTTAAGGTAACATTTCCATATATAAATTTTTGTATGCACATTTTTGAAATCCGTAATAAATTAATTAATTTTAGAGATTTTTTTTCTTGTCGTGCAAAAATTTATGAATTTTGGTCTTTAACTTGTTAAGAAAATTTGAAAGTTTTTAGTGAATTTTGGTCTTTAACTTGTTAAGAAAATTTGAAAGTTTTTAGTGAATTTTGGTCTTTAACTTGTTAAGAAAATTTGAAAGTTTTTAGTGAATTTTGGTCTTTAACTTGTTAAGAAAATTTGAAAGTTTTTAGTGAATTTTGGTCTTTAACTTGTTAAGAAAATTTGAAAGTTTTTAGTTAAGTGTGAAAAATCGACGTCACTTGAGTCAAGTGACTTGACGATTTCCTTGCAATCAGAAGTTTAGAAACTTAAATTAAAACTATTCTCTTCCATCGGTAAGTTGTAATGAAACATTTCTGTAAGTTCATAAGTGAATTTAAATAATTTAATTTTTTTCTAATTATGTATATAAATTTTTGAAATATCTTAAAATTATGAAATTTGAGCGATTTTTTTTGTCTACTAGAAAATTATTATTAAATTAGGAAATTCAATATCCCAGTTTAAGTCATTTTTCTTGTGCATGAAACTCTAAACCTTTAGACATTTTCGGTCTTAAACTTCTTCTAAAGAAAACTGAAAAATGTTTAGAAAAATGTCTCAAAACGACGTCACTTCACAATTTTATCATAATTTGAAGAATCTTTTATGTAATTTAGATACTGTGGTGCTCTATTTGTCTTTTATAAAAAACGGGCCAAGTTTTAGAATCAAATTGTCGTCACTTTACTTTTTTTAATTCGAAATCTGTTAAACAAAATTTAGATATTTTTAGCCTTAATTTTTATTTATTTTCATAAAAAAAACACAAACTTCCTCCTCGAAGGAAATAACATTTCCATCGAGAATTTTTTTAAAATGTGTGAATTTTGTTGAAAGACAAACAGGAAAAAATATTCCAAAATATGGCGAGTAGACGCCAGTTTTCAATTTTTCATAATTTGGAATAGCATATATAAAATTTAGATGAAATTTATGTGAAATACAAATAATAACTTGCTTGTTGAGAAGGCTGGAGACATATTGCATTGAATTTCTCATTTACATAAATTTATTAAGATGTTTTTTTTTAGAAATGTTTGATTTTAAATTAGAATAAAAAAAACAGGATAAATTGACGTGACTTTACAATTTTTTTTTAATTCGAAATCACTTTAACAAAATTCAGATATTTATAAGGTACAATTATTGTACATTAGTTATTTTCATAAAAAATCGTAAATTTCTTTCTCAAAGGGAATAACATTTAATTCGTCCATATTTTAAAAATTTGTGAAACCCGGAAGAAAATATTGTAACATGTCTGGATTCGACGTCAGTGTGCATTTTTTTCATAATTTGAAAGAACTCCCATAAAATTTAGATATGGTGTAGTTTAAAATGCAAGGATTTAACACAGATTTAAA